AAAAAAAAAAAAAAAAAAAAAAAAACGAAAAAAAAAAGATGAAATTTCAATTCCCACCTAAAAGGTGAGAATTTCCATTCAACTAAAACTAAGAAAACTAGCAAAGGTGGAAAACCAATTTCAGGGAAAAACAGTGCCATCAAACATGGCAAAAAGTAGGAAATTGAATTTCAATTCCAACCTCCATGGAAAATAAAGGCCTATCAAACAGACCCTTAGTTACTATGCGGACTAACAAGAGTATCACAAATACAAATAATGATATGTATTACTATCTTATTACATTGAAGAAGAGAAAGATATTCAAGCGATGTTTACGCTATAGAAACACAACTTTTTCACCGATGAGAAGAAGAAGAAGAAGAAAGAAAAGAAATAGCACCTCTTTGAGAGCATCTTGATTTCAGAAGGTCTCATCCTCTTCGATCTCCTCATCAAGCAACTTTGTCATGATGTAAAAGTAATTTCAACAATTCACTTTCATTTCAATTCAACCATTTATGTGCATAAATTTATTTGGCATACAAAAGATATGAACAAGAACATACATCAAGATAGGTTGGATGAACAATCTTGAAAGTATGCATGAGACACGAGAAAGCATACTTGAGCTATTTTTGTCTGTAATTCATTTGTATTCGTAAGATAATAAGTTGACACTCCCTACCTGCTAAATTGCACTCATCTTTGGATTTCTTGAACAATGAGGAAAAGGTCCATACGAGATGGTTGTTCACCACCCTGACCTGCGAAAGAGAAATAAAAATGTATATCAGTGAGCTGGTTAGGAAAATTAAGCCTCAGTTTATCAAATAATAAAAGCAACTTAAAAGTTTGTTTGCTATCTTTAAGCCCATAAACTTTCATACCAAGAAGAACTCAATTTTTAATTAACAATTTCATATTCATAAGACCCAAAGGAATCTTAAATTCAGCATAAGAAAATATCCACCAAAGGAAGCATCCAATTTCAACCCTAAATAGAGAACTGGAGACGAAATCCTGATTACACGAGATTTGGGGAAATTTTTGGGAACTTTAAATCAACAAATGGAAAAGAAGCTGAAATATTTGCACTAAATTATGAATATAATTTGACTGATATGCAAAAGGAGTCTTGTGAAGCGTACTTGAAAGTAGTTGTTTTGAGTGCCTTGTGATCCTGAAGGCAATGGAATATTTAATCGGGGAAGGAGATGATGAGACAAATGCTAATGTCTCTCCTACACATACTACTAATACAACAATGAGAAGCCCTCTTAGATAATATGCCTCTGCATCTAATCTCCAGTCAATCTCCTGATCACTACTTCTATAAAGAATTGAGAAGACCTACAAGAGATGAAGGATAGACTACAAAGACAATTTGCCAATGAATTTGATGGAATCTCAATTATAATATGAGAGAACAAAGCAATAAGCAAGCTAGGGTGTGATTGGCGAGGTTGTGAACACTACATAAGAAAAAGAAAATTCCACTTCACCACTTCATAAAAAGAACTAAACAAATTTAGATTAAGACCAAAAAATTTGAAGAAACTCAAGCAGGACAAAATAATTATCTTTCTAGTGCTTTGTCATGCCAATTTGAAAGTCACTGGCCTTTTTTGAGTCAGAAGCATGTGAGGGGTCATAAACAATGTTCCGACTACATTTGCTTTGCTTTGTCTGATTCATGTAGAGAGAATAAATGCTCACCATTATTTTTCATCAAATTCTTCGTGTATCTTGAGGAATTGATTGGGTAATTCATCATAATTATCAAACAGAAGAATTGGCAATGGAAAGACAAAAAAGTGCACGCATGTATGTAAACCCCCTCTTCATGAGGCAAAACATTCTACACAATTGGTTGAACCACCTAGGGATGGCAGGCCCCCCCCGCTAAGAAATTCTCTGCCCCGTTACCAGTTTAAAGAAGCGCGGGGTCCTTGCCCCGTTTACTACCCGTTTTAAAAAAAAAAAATTATTTTTGATAATTTATTTTTATTACCTATATTTATTATATTTAGACAAATAATTCTATTTGCTTTTTCTATTAAAGATAATGAAATTTTGTGAAATTTTTCATTTAAAGTATTGAATTCTAAAAAAAAAAAAATTTAAAATAAAAAAAATTTAACGGGGGGGGGGAGCTTTACCCGTCCCTGCCCCGAATACCAGATTATGCGGGTTATCCGCCCTGCAGTTATCGAGTTTTTTTGCCTAGAACAACCTCTTTGTGAATCTAAAATGGAAAGAAGATTCAAAGTTAAAATGGAAAGAAGATTCAAAGTTAAATGCTTACTTTAGTTTAAAATTTCAAACCAATTTTATAATTTGCAAAGACTTATGTTTCAAAAAGGATAAGAATGAAAGCAAAACATTAGAACATCAACAACTAACAAATTCCATGAGAAGCGTACCTACAAATTATCACACAAAGTTAGATGAGGACAAAAAAAAGAGGTCCGCGGACCAATTTTTTTATTTTTTTGTGCCTGACATTCAAATTCAGCCATTGTGGGTGTAGGGAGAAAGAAGTCCATATTACCCTTAGGCCATGTTTGATAGCATGGAAAATGGGTGGAAAAAGAAAATATTTTCCAAGTTTTCATGTTTAGTGGTGTTTGATGACAAAAATTTGCCATGAAAAATCTGACTTTTTTTTTTTCCATCTACGCGCCATACTCCATGTGTGGGAGGAAAAGATTTTCTTACCTTTTATGTGGGAAAATTAATTTCCAGTTCTGTCCCTTTTTTTTTTTTTTTNAACACATTTAATTAACAATTCCCTGAACAATTTCTAGAAAAATATTTCCCCTATAAAATATTTTCTTTTTACCCATTTTCCACCCTTACTATCAAACGGACCCTTAAAGCTTGAATGAATAGTGGAGAATGAATATGAATAAAATGGGATAAAAAAAGTTTCACAAATAAATAGTAAACGGTAGGTTGTCTCTTTTAAGATAGTAGGAATATGTAGGTTTACATAATAAATTAATATTTTCCCACCATATAATGCCACAGAACGAGAAAATTGATTATATTTCCGTACTAAAAATTCGACACACAAAATAAAAGAAACAAAAATCATTGCTAATACGGTCAAAATGTTTGTAATTCTTCTAAATCGCGAGACTCATGTGTCCTATACTATACGCTAAGTGAACGGAGTTGAGTCAATCTCTACTATCTTTAGTCAATCAGGGACAATAAAATTTTGTATAATGTATTTTAAAAAGACAAACTTAGGCACCGTTTGGTAACCATTATTTTAGAAAAAAATGTATTCTTTGTGTCAAATCACACTTTTTTGTGGTTGAAAATGAAGNAATGCATTTTTACTGTTGATGCGATTGAGAATATGTGGTTGAAAAAGAAGGAAAAGTTAATGATGTGATGTAAAATATTATTTTATTGAAAAATGTGTGGTTGAAAATTAGTAGAAGAATGAAAATAAAAAAAAGAATGGTTATCAAACGGTGCCTTACTTGACCTCTTATAATATCTACAGTCAAGGATTGATTTATTAGTTTTCCATATCAACTTTCACATTCCACTTATAAATAAAATAAACCCATAAACTCACTTGATTAATGTTAATACCTTTACTCGATTGGGTTGAATTAGGCAAAACTCAAGCATCTAACCATTTAAATCCAATGCAATCAAGCGGCCCAGAGTAGATCGAAGCCAAGTTGAAAGTTGTACAAGAACTGAACCACAATTCCAGCACGGTTAGAACTCAACTTGAAACTTGAAGACAACTTGACTTGGATCGAACAAAGGAAAGTCCGTCATTTCTTCAAGAACGATTTGAAATGCTATGAGGTCTTCTTATAATTTTGTTTCAATTAATCAAAACAAGGAATTTGTGTAAAATGACGAAACTCAAACACAAAATAAAAGAAACAAAAATCATTGCTAATACGGTCAAAATGTTTGTAATTCTTCTAAATCGCGAGACTCATGTGTCCTATACTATACGCTAAGTGAACGGAGTTGAGTCAATCTCTACTATCTTTAGTCAATCAGGGACAATAAAATTTTGTATAATGTATTTTAAAAAGACAAACATACTTGACCGCTTATAATATCTACAGTCAAGTATTGATTTATTAGTTTTCGATATCAACTTTCACATTCCACTTATAAATAAAATAAACCCATAAACTCACTTGATTAATGTTAATACCTTTACTCGATTGGGTTGAATTAGGCAAAACTTAGGCATCTAACCGTTTAAATCCAATGAAATCAAGCGGCCTAGAGTAGATCGAAGCCAAGTTGAAAGTTCTACAAGAACTGAACCACAATTCCATCACGGATAGAACTCAACTTGAAATTTGAAGACAACTTGACTAGGATCGAACAAAAGAAAGTCCGTCATTCTTCAAGAACGATTTGAAATGCTATGAGGTCTTCTTATAATTTTGTTTCAATTAATCAAAACAAGTAATTTGTGTAAAATGACGAAACTCAATATATTCATATAGATTTAATTCAAACAAGTAGAACGACACCACAGGATTACAAAAATCTCTCGTGTATCTACTTCTGCTTATTCTCCAATAAAACGATTTCAGCAAAGCAATCCATCAAAAGTTGACTACTGATCTGTAAATATTTCCAGGCTTCCATCCAGCAGGTATTACATTATTAGCCACAAGACTCTTCCCAGAGTCCCCAGTTATCTTAATGGAGAATGGGGCTTGCAATGCATTTCCTGAATTCAGTTTCCACACGGCACCCCACGACTGTTGCATGGGAACCCAAGAATCTGAGTCCGATGCCTGTTTGAGTTCAACTGCTGCAACATCTCCATCCCCATCTTCGTATTCAATTACTGCAGCAAAATAGTTGGAGTTGGAACCCGCGTCGACTCGGAAGGTCAATCGTACTCCAGGGTAATTGCACTCCGTTCTGAAAAAAAAATAAATAATAATTAAAGATTCAAATTCATAAGCCTCAAAACACGATTGGACAAGACAGACAACGGATAAATTTTTACCTTCGATACTGTATTTGTACACGTCCAGCATTCCGCAGTTGATCAGCTTGGCTATTAGTCGCCATGTCTCCAATGGAGGTTCCACTTAAATCAAACAGAACTGATTCTGAGTCACAACCCGGGCATTCATCTGTTATAACTACAGTTACTGGATTCCCCGAGCATGCAGCATTATCTGTACATTTGACCTAGTTAAAATAAGACCAAAAGCCATTTAATTAGCACAGGCTTTATATATTGTTAACTGCATGTATAATTAGAATCATATGATTTGAAGCACCTGATAACAAGCTCCACAACTCTTGCCTGATTTGTATATAGAAGAAGCAGCAGCAGTTATTAGGGACGAAAATGGTGGTTTCCCTACAGCATCTTCGTATCCACAGGCACCCCCTAAATGCGCATAGAAACAAAATTTTTACAAATTATTTTTTTCTGTTGAGGTCATCCCAATATATAAATATTTATTCTTACCAGTACTTCCTGCACCATTAGCGCTTCCATACCAGGTAACTACTGCTGGTGACCATGCTGAATCAGATTGAAGTTTTGACACATTAAGAAGCTTAGGGTTGAAGCAAGAGCAAAAGGTAAGTAAAAGAGAACATAAAGCTAAATATGTGAAAAGAGAGTTTGTATGCAAAACATAAGCCATGAAAAAGGAGCTTAGTTAATTCCCTTAGTCTAATGAAGTTTAGTTCTGTGGAGGCTGCACTGCATGGATTAACCCTATTTATAGACCAATGAAATGCCCATGTATCACTCAATATCTAACTGTAGTTAAACCAGAACTTTGAATTATGATCTGATAAATAATTTATAGAGTCAAATAATAGTTCAAGAGACTGATAATCTTATCTTATGGCTAATTTCAATGGAGAGAAAAAGTATTGAAATTCTTGTAATATATTCCATGGATATAATTTATTATAAATTGAATCCTAACAAATTATAGCCATTTTTGAAAATTCAGCTTTGGAGAAAATTTTTATTATTTCAAGAATTTTGCATTTGTAAATGAAATTGATGCTAAGAAATGAAGCTATTCTCAGCTGACAAAACAGGGCATCTAAAATTCTTAAGAAAGAAAACACTGAAATTTATTTCTTGACATTCTGTTTCAATAGGCATGATTCATAATCCTTCGCTCGTTCGGTAAAGCTTTTGTTTGTTGAAAAATTAGTCAAATCTCATTTTTAACTGTTCGACTCTCAATTTTTATTCACTTTTTCACCATATATTTTATGATATCCATCAACTTTTATCAATTTGTAACAATATCGGACAATACTTAAGGCCCGTTTTGCACAATCACAGTAGACTGTGGGTCCATTGTTCAATTTTTTCCGCCTTAAATACCTTGTACAAGATTTCCTTGACGTAATTGAAAGCAATTACATGAATAAATCGCCATTAACTTCGCCGTTAATATTGGTTATTGACCGTTAGCAGTTGAAAACCTGACAGTTACATTTTCAATTTCTTAAACTTTCCACGTGGCCGTCGCACTCCAAGTTAAAGACAACATCCATAATACAAGGCGAGGATTTAGGAACTCATTTTCTTCTTTTCCTGCAATTCCATTTGACATTTTCGAAAAGGGTGAAATATTTTCTCCCTTTTGCTATTGCTTGTTTTTTTATGTGACGAACTACGTCCTACACTTGTAGTACATTGAATTATACAAAATTTTAAGAAAATGGATTTTGAAATAATGATTTTTTTTTGTGTTAATGCATGATTAAAAATGAGTTTAAGAAAAAAATAGTTTTGAAAAAATGAATGACAAACAGGGACTATATAAAATTTTACGTATCATATGCAAGGTAGCATTTCCGATGCATTCTATAAATTATTGCCAAGCAGTCATAAAATTTGAAAAAACATTCAATCTATGTGATATTGAACCCCTGTTTGATGTTATTATTTTGAGAAAATTGAGTTTTGAATAGTGTCTTTTTTAGAATATGTGATTAAAAAGTATGAAATTTTTTTGAATTTACATACAAAATATTTTATTGTGTAAATATATGATTGAAAATAAGTAAGAATTAAAGAGTTTTGAAATAATGGTTGTCCAAAATAAGTGTGCTTTATGGAATGCTATTTAGATGTTTAAAATCACGTCTAAATCGTTGTTTGCCATCACATAGTAAGACTTTTACCACTAGGCTATACAACGATTTTCGTCAACATGCTCATATTCGAAATTTAATATAATTTTCGTCAAAATGCATTATTTAAAAAATTAATATAAGAGAGCGTGCATAATTTTGGAAAATGGTTCATAAATTTCATAGGAGATCTGTAAAATTTGCCCCACTTTTTGTCGACACATTTAGTATAACCTATAGTTACTGCTCACTTATTATTCAGACTTTCGCTAGGATTCATGACTTATAATCACCTAAATTATAATCTAATCACCAACCAAAAATGCATAGAGATATTTATCTCTTAACAATTATTGAAAATGCATATTTTCATGAAATAACATTGTTAAAAAAAAAAAAATTATATTTAATAGGTAACATTATTGAAAATTTAATTACTCAAAAAAATATATAATTATTGAGTACCCAGTCAAACAAGAGATGGTGTAACCTAATTCAAGTAGAAAAATTGAGGTTCCAATATTGCACGGCCTTAGATTAACTTTGCATTCATTCAAAAATGGTGTTGCTTTCACAGCGGTTGAGCCTCTGCCCCTTCGGGGTGGTCTGGACTCCGCTGGCAGGAAGCAGTTGCGGGTTCCTACATCAAAAAAAAAATGGTGTTAATTGTTAGGTCATGATCAGCTATAGTGTAATTTTGTTTTGACATGTTTAGTATTAAAGATTAAAAATACACTATAATCTTCATCATTTGTCCTCTTCGTATAATCAATTTTTTTATATCAAAGATTTTGGATTGGGATTAAATTGTCAATGGAAAAATCTTTCTTCTTTGGAAATATACATTCTTAATGTCGTATCACGTTGAATATGGATCAATTTAAGCACGATTTCACATGGCTATCATTGTCAAGTAGAATGATATGGGTTAACTAGGAGAAGCTTTTGGAATATCTTTTTGGAGTTGGGAAAAAAACCAAATTCCTTTGGTTAAAATAATTAAAAATCCTTTTTGATCAAAGAGCTCCATGTCGATTTTATAACAAAAAATAAAATAAATTCGTGAGTAAATGCATACACATTTAACCGAACATGGACATAATTTTTACACGACTCTATTTTTTTTTTTTTAAATACAAGTACAATTGAAACATTTTGCAACTCAAATTAAGTTACACTATGATTTGGATTCAAAAGTCTACTTTAAAAACTCGTCAATCAAGCGAAAAAAGATCATATGTGAGAAAAAAGAAATATTATATGTATATTATGTGCATATAGATGATGTAGTAGGAATAATAATGTAATATGTAAAATGTTGTAAAAGAAATTGATAGGTATATTCTTTTTTATTTAATGAATATATAATATAGAAAAGTAAATTTTGTCTTTTCACCCTTTCTATATTTTCAAAACCTCAGAATTAGTTATCCTATGAGTACGACTTTTTCACAAGCAAACAATTGATCGACATGTAACATGTGGTAGAATTAAAATATTCCCAACATCTTTTTTTTTATTGGACATCTAAACTCGATGATTTATTATTAAACGGATATTTACCTAATTTAGATTTAATTATGTTAATTATAGAAAAAAATTCCGACTCGATAGAAATTGAGCGAAGAAAAGCGAATTTGAGCCTAGTTGGAGTTGATTCGGATTAAAGTTGTCGTTTGCATCGCTGAATTTTTTCTCCTCCTATGTTGCAAAATGAATTGTGTTTTTCTTGTTTTTGTAAGATAAATAAATTCATCATTTTTTACCTTACTCCATGAAAAAATTGACACAACAATTTGACACTGGCCGGTGGATGTCGAAGACCCATCTTCAGAAATTTAGCTTATGCTTGAACTCCATTTTTTTTTTAAATGTATTTTTTCAAAACTAATTTTTAACCACAAATTCTTCCATAAAATAATATTACACGTAGATTAAAAGAAAATTTCTTTATTTTTTAACTATACGTTCTTCAAAAAATTACTATTTCAAAAAAAAAATATTTTTTTTTCTAAAATCTCATTTTAATGAAGTCGAAACTGGGACTTTGAAGTGTATTTGCTTTATATTAGGCGAACTCGACTAGTCAAAACTCTTAGTGACATTTGTGTAAATATAGAGGCTTGAAGTCGTCTACAAATATGTGATCTCGACAATGAATTATTTCCTTTAGGAAATAAGAATCTCTATCTTTATTCTCCATGATATTTTACTCTCTCTTGTAATTTAGGTTGCATCTTCTTCATGTTCAAAAACCTATTATTGTCAATACATTTCATATTCCAGTAGTGGATTTTCAGCAACAGCTATGGAAACAATCCATCGTTGACACCCTTTAGCGACTAATATTATCAATGTCGTTGATACCCCCGCCAACCTTTGGTGACTAATATTATCAATGTCGTTGAAACCCCCTTTTTCTATAATGACGTTCTTTCTCTAATAGTTAAATTTTTAGATGAACATTAAATATTATAGCAAATCACGTAAAATTTTCTAAATCAAATTTTTGCGCCACTCAGTAGTCTTTAAAGAAACATCAGTATGAAACTATTAATAATATTAAACAAATGAGTTTAATTTTTATCTTTAGAAAATTAAATTTTTTATATGACGCATATGTTCAATTTATGCGTTATAGTCAACTGAGACTTTGAATTTTGAAAAGTATTATGAGTATTTAATATAGACTTTTTGACTTTATCTAGTATTGATATATTTGGTAGAGTATTCAATTAAAACATTTAGAAGTATCTATAAATTATGAGGATTTAAAATATCAATGATTTTTAAAGATTTTTATAGTCTCTAGTGTACTAACTTTTAATAAAAAATTATAAAAATAAAACTTCAGTTTGTCATCCATTCAAATCAAGATTATGGAAGACTTTTGTTTCCTTGCATGTCCTTTGATACAAAGGTGGAGGTTTGTTAGACAAAGTGTTGTCAAACGACCTCCTAAGCGATGATGTAATATCATTGTTTATTCAGTCGACATCGTCCAAATGATTGAAGTAAAATATCGACATCACAATAGCTCAAACCAGTTCTACAATCTATTTGAATCATTTGAAGTAACCTATAAATCTTGGATGGCTTCTTAGGTCGATAGCCCACTTACCCCACTACCTATTAACTATTGGGCCTAATTCTTACCTAACCTAAAAGCCCACTTCTATCCTATATATACTTTGACTCTCGGTTTTTGGCTTTAGTGTGTGTATGATATTATATTTGCACTTACATGTGAGGAGAGAAACCGACTACGGCTATTGTTGCTTCGTGCTTCCACTATTGAACTTTTCTTCCCGTTTCTTCCAGCCTTTGTGTCCTGTTTGGGTGGTTGCAAATAACTTATACCAAAACCCTTTGTGGGCTAGCTAAGAAAGCAACCGATTGTTTGGGATTGAGTTGTGGTTTTGGGTTTGTCGAATTGTGGTGTTTGATTAGGTATTTAGGCGATATACTGAGCCTGGAATCTTTGGTGATCTATTTATTATTCAACAACTTTCAAATAAAAAAAATTAATATATATTTTTATGTCCTTTAAATATTTATTTTTCATCCTTTCTTCTAAGACACACACACATCTACTACTAAAAAAGATCAAACTGTAATTAAAAATATTCCTTTCATCCAATTTCTTATGAAACAAAATAAATTTGTACTTAAATTTTATAAGATTTTAACAAAAAAGATTAATTTGTAATTAATTTTAAATATATTGAGTGATTGCTTACTTTTTAATGATCTGATAAGTTGATAATAATGAACATTAGATATTTTTTATTTATTTTATTAAATAGTGTTAAATTATATTTTATATGTGTGTGTGTGTGTGTGTATTTTTCATTTTGATTATTTATTTATTTAACTAACTAAGTGATTTAAACTTTTTATTTTTTAAAAAATATTATTTATTACATGGAGAAGGGGATGATGGGAATCGAACGTCCACTTCTTATTATGGGAACCTTTCATTGGAGTGCTGTACCCAAATGAATTTTATTTTAAATAAAAGTCTTCAAAAGTTAAATAAATTTTATAAAAGTTTTAAAATGGAAGTCTATACAAATATATAAAAAACTTTCATCAATTCCATATAAATCTATAAAAGTCCACAAAATTCACAAAATTTTATCGCTTAAAAATGTCTATACAAAGTCTTAAAAATCTTGATTGAACACACCCTAACGCATTGTTGCAACATAGCATAGTTCTTGCTTAGATGTTGTTCGCACCAATTCACTCGTCTTTGAATTAAGCCATGTTTGATAGAGATTATTTAAAATTTATTTTCAACTACGCATTCTTATACTAAAATAATTTATTTTTTTTACGTGAAGCTACAATTATTTTATTATTTTTAACCATACATTCTCCAAAACAATTACTTTTCACAAAAATTTATTCTAAAAAAACTAAGTTAAACAAACTCAAAAGCTAAGTTATGAGTGTATTATATAGGATAAAGATTTACATGTACCATCAATCCATGATTGATGCAATAAAATATTTTTTTTTCAAAAAAAAATGTATTTGAATTAAATAGAGTGGAAAGTTAGGTCAATATCCCGTTTACGACATGATTAGAACAACAAAAGTTGATGTGGTTTAATGGAATAATAATTAAAAATGGAAAGAAACATGATTCCGCAGTATGTTCCCCTTCTTTCGTTCCTGTATACAGAATAAAATCAAGAAAATTACATAATTTTTTTCTCTCGAAAAGAAGACAAAAGTTGAACTAATATCAAAATGGGTTTAGTCCAATGCTTTGAGGAATTGCTGCTTCGTCAACCACAAACCAATCTTACACCTAATTGTACCTGCAGAATTAAATGAATTCAAGAATTAATTGGGGTCTAGTTAACTGAACAATTGATTTTGCTACTTGCCTTTTGACTCTTGCCTATGGGATTGCCGTAGAAGTCACGTGTCGAGCAAGTTCTTGCCTCCTCTTCCCACTCGGCTAAAAGCTCTAGAATGAAGCTCATGAACCCGAAAATGCTTCTTTTTCGGCGCCCGCCCTTTCTTTATTTAGATGTTGAGGCAAGGCAAGCCCACGTAAAACCATTTTCTGTGTTCTTCATTAAATAGTGTTTCTTAAAAATGGGTGAAACGTGATTGGATCGACAAACTGGTTTGTTTATAAAGGAAAGAAACAATTAATTGCAGTGATTGATTTTTTTAAGAATGAACTTGTACCAGTGTGACATGCTGAGTTGTAATATGAATAATCTAATTAAGAATGATATTATTTAATTATGTGTACTTAAGCCATGATCAAAGTGATGGGAAGGAGAGATGGTATCAAATTAATTATAGTGAACAATGTTTTAATTATTTTTAATATAAATGATTAGATTGGTGTTGATGAGGCCTTCCAAGTTGCTTCCTTGTGTCTTTAATATTCTATATTATTTTCCATCTAGGTCCTAACCTTTTTTCACTCACAATCATTGTTCATCATTTAAAGTTTCTTCAATTTGGAACCATATATGCCCATCATTAGCAAGGAAGGGTTTTCTTATCTTAAAACATATTATTATGAAATAGTTATTTGTTCCAACTGGTAGGTGGTTGTTATATACTTTGACATTGCTCAGACATACTTAAGAAAATGCGAATAAAGTCCTTCGTCGGTTAAATAGTACGTAAACGATGAATTTATTAGGAATTTTGTTAATTCACTTAACCAGGTACGGCATGTTATGCTAAACTTTTGAAAAGTCAAAAATTGCTTTCAAGATAGAAAAATTCTTTTCTTGTTTAAATAATTTTATAGTGTTTCATGTAGTTACAAGAGTTTTCAGATGGTATCCAAGTCAGACCCCAAACTTAACCATGTAGATGCACAAGACAAATTCCCAATTGCAACTGAATGAAGCTGGTGGAACCCAAGCTGGATCATGATACATGGAAAGTCTACGGTTGGCTCTTAAGGTGGTCGTGTTCACAAATGGCAATGACCCTGCCGTAGTAGAAGAGTTAGACCTTGATAGATAATGTAATCCTTCAATTTGAGAAAGAGATGGATAGACAACCGTTTAAAGGGAGGTCAAGCTGACATGGTGCTTTGTTCAATTTGAGAATTTTACGTGAAAAGTGCAAATAAAGTTCTCCATTGATTAAATATTAAGTAAATAATGGACTTAAACGACATTGGATACTCTAGCTAATGTATTAACTTTTTAGGATTGAATTCCAGTCCCTATAGATATCACATTGTAGCCCTTGCCCGCAGACTAAAGATTTAGTGGAGAATTCGAAGTTGATGCTTCTCCTTCAACCTTTGATGAGAACCAATTATAGTATCCTATGCGTGTCTAAATTCGATTTTCTTCAATGGAACCCGATATACAGTTCGATAGTAAATATAATTGGTCTCGACAACAGCTAATTGCTTTCTAACAGTAGTTAATATCCAAACACAAGAAAAACAAAGATGTGAAACTTCAAACATAAAGCTATAGCACACTTGAAACTTGCCCCCTGTTTGGTCCGGATTAAAATTATTTTTAGTAAATTTTGATAAAAAAAAAAATTTGATGAAATGTGTGGTTGAAAAGCTGTGGACCCTATGAACTATGTGATTAAAAATAATTATTAACTTTGATTTAAATTAAAATTACTCACCCAACGGAGATGTTAATTTGTACAAGAAAAACAACAAGTTAAAAGCTGGAAAATCTTTTATACAATTTGTGCACGATGTTGCATTAATCGATACAAATTGAATTTATTTACAGCAAAAGATGGGCAATATGATCAAGTCTTGTTTCTTCTCTTTGCTTTGTTTTGATTTCTTCTGCACACCTTAAAGTCCTCTCAATATGGTAAACTCCTCCAATACTCACTTCCCTCTCCAAATGGCAGCAGTAACTCTCGAAAACACTTACATTCACATGAAACTTGAATTTCATCAAGAACAAAAATTCAACCTCTAACTTGTTCATTTCCTTTGATGTTAATCCCCCTACTCGAGCGAAATAAGAATTTCTGTAATTCCTGCATAAAACAAGACAGAACATTTGTTATTTGGTGCTTCATCATCGCAGAAATTTAACTCCATTGAGCTCGTTTTGAAGTACTCAATGGTTACACCTATTGTTTGGCATTTTACTTTAAAACTCGTAGCATTTTTCTTTTTCTTGCTGAAAAGTATACTAAAAAAATCTCAGTAGAGAAGAAAGTAACTTACATGTCTTCTACATATTTGGATGCCAACATTATTGTTGTAATGAGCAACCTATGCACATTCCTCACGCCAATTCGAAACTCGGGATGTAACTGGCAAAATCTATCAATATAAACATATGCAACAACATAAACAGATGGTCCAGCTCTTGTATATCTGAAAATTCTTTCAAGGTAGGATTGGATTCTCATATCCGGTGTCTCATTACAGTCGAAAACTCGGGTTTTAGCAGATTTGGATGACAGTGGAAATCTGCAGTTTTTAGCTATTCTCTCGTTCCTAGACAACGTTCTGTCTATTATAGATGCAAGAACATAAATGACTAAAGGGATGTTTGAATCTTTTTGGTATGAATATGAGTAGACATCATGCCTAAGTTTTCTTGGAGAGAGGATAGTTGAAGTTAAAGCCATTTTTCGAAATAGAATTTGGTTATCTGTTGAAGTGTTAGAAGGGATTTATATAAGAAGAATTGGTGCAATATTGTAAAGAGAGAGGGAGTTTCATTGTTTGGGGAATATTTTAAGAAGATTAGGCCATTTGGAAGTTTGGTGGGAAGGGAAGAGTATCAAATTTTAAGATATTTGCCTCGACATTGTAAAGGCAAGGTCTAGACACACCACCTACTTTTCTGTTTAAAATAATTGCTGGATCACAGAGAATAGGCAATAAATATGTAGTCAAGCATATAGGTTTTGCATGCTATTTATTATTATTATTTTTTTTAAACTTTTTCTGAGATTTTTTTTTTGTTTTTTAAATTTGAATGGGTTACATGGATTGTTCATGCTTCGATCTAGTCGATGGTGTGATTGTGCCTTTTTACAAACTAACAAATAGCTCGAGTTTTTTTACTTTCGTTATTCGAGTGAGTTCTTAGACGAAGCTTTTGATGAAAGGTTAATAAAAATGTGATTGAAAAGTTTATACAATTTTAAACAAGCATTTAATTGGCCATATAAAATTCACAAAATAGATGATAAAAAGGGAAATTGGAAGTGGTTATTAAGATTTTGGTCCAAGTCGCAGGAAAGAGTGGCCTTAGAAGTATTGAAATAATAGATCTTTGACATTATTCTTTAAAAATGAAAAGATTATTTTTTGAAAATTATTTGAAGATTGATTGGTACATCTGAAGAAATCAGGGTGCGTTGTTTAAGAAACAAATCTTACTTCAGATGTGATTAGGGCTGGGCAAAATGTCCGAACCGAACCGAACCGAATCGGAACCGAACCGAACCGAATCGAGCGGGTTTTTTAAAATGAAATACCCGAACGGGTATTCGAATCGAGAACCGAATGGTTTGGTTCGGTTCTCGATTCTCGACCGAGAACCGAAGAACCGAATAAGAACCGAAATTTTTTTTTTATATTGGATAAATCAATTTCTTTTATTTTTTCTAAACAAATTAATAATTTTTTTCTTATTAAATCTTATTAGTTGAACAATTTAGAGTTTATTTATGTTTGTTAGTTGTGTTTTTTTCAATTTTTTCTTGTATAGTTTCTTAGTAGTTAGTACGGAAAGTCAACCAACTGATGATTACATTAAATAGTTGGTAAGTATTATCAATACTTTAAAATATTTTATATTTGTGACTTCTAATTTATATTTCACTTTTATGTAGATTTGAAGGTTTGAAGCAAATGAATTATTGATATGAATATCGAAGTTTTATTAGTAATATTTACTTTTTGGTATTTGTATTTGACAACTTATTATTTATATGTTATTAAATTAGATTACGTTAATTTGTAAAAGTTAAGATTGAACTTGGTATTTGTATCTACTTTTTGTTCTTAATATTGGTATCCACTTTCAGGTGTATTTATACAGTATTATTTTAAATGTTAAAAAATTTAATTATAGTACGGAACCGAAAGGAACCGAACCGAACCGAAACCGAACGGTTCCAAAATTATATTTGGAACCGACGGTTCCATTTACTAAATACCCGAAAATTTCTGGAACCGAAAAAAATCGAACCGAACCGACCCGCGCCCACCCCTAGATGTGATGTAATTACAAGTCAATTTTACATGGAACGTTAATCAATCTCGTGTTTGATGACCATTATTAGGGATTTTCAATGTTTTGAATAGTGAATTTTTAGAGAATGTATGATAAAAAAAATTTTTGATTTACGTACGAATATTTTATTATGTGAATGTTTGATTGAAAATGAGTATGTAGATAAAAGAATTTTGAAGTGAAGGATGTCAAATAGGGGCTAATGTTTGATTTAGTTAAAAATCAGATTTTTAGTAGAAGTTGATGAAAATGCAATTGAAAAATTGATAAAAATTGTGGTCCTTATGAAACACGTGGTTAAAAATGAGTTTGAAGAAAAAAAAAATTTAAATGGTGGTTAAACATATAAAAGAGTAATTAAATAAGATGAAGAAAAAAAATGGAAGATTGGCAAAATTAATATAAATGCTCCTTGAAATCTTTCAATAAAGTAATTACGACAACAAACTAAGTATTGAGAATCGCAAAATAAAAAAAAAAATAAAAAACCCACAGGCAGACGCATATCATCTGCTCAACTCGTTGTCAACCACGTTATTAAAAACACAATCTTCATCTGCTCAACTCGTCTACCTTTCCATATATCAATACGTATTGCACTCGCAAAAGAAAATCGGGACACAACACGAAAAAATGACCATTAGGCTTGGCCCCCCTTGTAGGGTAAAAACTCTTGTTTGATAGATGTTAAAATTAGATTTTGATCAAATAATAAAAAAAAAAATGATTGGATGTGTGGTTGAAAAGTTGTAGGTCCTATACAATGTGTAGTTAAAATTAATTGTTGATTTTTACGTAAATTTGAATCGGATATTTTAACGATACCAAACAAGGGTAATTATTTAATATTTTGCAATCAAAGTTCAAGAAAATCCGATCTAATTGAAAGGCGATTATTAATTTCATATCAAATCAAATACAAAATTGTACAATATCACGCGTACAATTACTTTAATGGCGGAGGCTCCCACTCTCCCATTTGTCCTACGTAGTCTGTGGTGTATGATTCATATCAAAATTTAAAGCGGACGCAGGAAAGTTAACCATGAACTTGTGAACAGACGAATAATGGCCAAAAGCAGAACTTGTAGATTGTAACGTGATAATGACCAGTTGAGTTACCTATTCCTATATTGGCAATGTGGAAACATGAATTTACTAGATCGAAATAAATTATAACTATCATACTTTAAATTTAAATTCTCAGAAATATCAAACTTTGAGATTTATTTTTATTCAAAATTTAGGTCACAATTCAATATTATTCAAGTCATACGAGCATTCTTTGTTTCAAATAAATTTACGGCATAATAATTTATTATTTACTAATGATCGCAAAACAGGCTGGTGCTTGTCATAGTTTGGAAATCTTGGATGTATTTCTGTATTGTTTATCAATATGTGGATATTATTGTTGGATTTCAATATAAATGTACTTCGTTATGACTGTATATATGTATTCTTTGTGGTAATCATTATGTGATACATATTCATCGTCGATTATGACATTTCGTAACTCCATTTTATTATGTTTAGAAGAAAATTGACTATGCTAGCATACCCGTGGGAGGTTCGCATAACAACGGACTATTACATTGGTAGATTATGTTTAGAAGAGAATTGACTACGCCGGAAGAGAAACGCGCCCTTGTTTAAAATCCCGTTTCCAAACAATCCTCAAGCAGCAAAGTTGTTCATATCTCCTTCTCTACATGCAATCCACTGTTAAATCTATCAAATCTATAAGCACAATTAAGCGAAGAATTTGACTTTATAAGATCTTTTAATCTAACATGCAACTTCTTAAATCAACTTAGAGATGCAAACATTGAGGTTTAAATAGTTCACAATTATTTTATTGTATGAACTAAAGACAATACGCATGCATTAATTGAAAATCAGAGCTTATTTATTAAAATTAGAATAATATTATTTATTATTATGATGATGAAACATCGGTGATGTAGCAATTTATATGGAATAATGAGAGAATGAGAAAAAGAGAGATGTGAGGAATAATGAATTGCCACATCATCGATATTCCATCATTATAATGATAAATAATATTACTCTTGAAATTAAGGGTTCAAAATTACGTTACAATCATTTATTGTAACTAAATCCCTGTTTGACAATTATTATTTCAAAACTCTTTAATTCTCATTCATTTTCAACTATAAAATCTTTCTCTATTTTTTAATGACATATTTTCCAAAAAAAATTACTATTCAAAATTCTATTTTTTCAAAATAATGACCACACGTATAAATAGAAGAACACGTAATCAAACTGAAGTACATAAGAGGGTTATGAAATTGCGCCGTTAAGAGAGTAAGAAGAATCCTTACACCGAGTTCTCCGCCTTCAAATTCAAGAAAAAATTCAATCCCTTGCGCTAGATTAATGTTTTTTTGTATTTGAAAGGACCCTCTTTTTTGACCTTACATGAGTTATATGGTCGTTGAGAGCTTAAAAATCAGTCTGGAGAAGAATACTTTAACTTGTTCCTATTTAACGGTCCAAATTAAAAAAGGAAAATTTGGGTTGATGTCGGGGGCGTCCACCCCCTCCTTGGACCCGGTTTCGGGGTGGCAAATAGGCCTTTAGTGGGCCTGTTTGCATTCTACTGGGGGTGGCCGCCCCAATTCAAATGCCTTGAATTCGTTGAGTTTGGCCTCCAAATTTTGGCCCAAGCACAATTGTTTTCTTGGACAGCAGTCCATTATTATATTTCTAACTGCTCTTCTAATTAATTATAGCACACCTTTGATTGAACTAAAAAAAAGTTCATTAACAACATGTGTTGACTCGCTCAATATTTTGGTAGATCAGTGGAGGAAGCTCTTGGTCCTTGTCCAGTTTAGAGCACATCCCGTGATTTACCTGATCTGCGTCTTGAGGGGCCAATGAGTAGATACTCAGGATTAGTTGCCGAATGTGGACACCTGAGTATAAAAAAAGAAAGTTCATTAAACTTTAAGTCAAAGTCAACAATTAATTTTCATCACACATTTCATGCTATTCACAGCTTTTTAATCATGCATTCATCAAAAATCTAATAAAAATTAATTTTAGCAAAATCAAACAAGGGCATAGTATTATTGGCTACCCAAGCTGGCTAGTTCAAAATTATAAGCTTTAACAGTAGCCTTTCAATGAAGTATCGTATTAGATCTCAACCTTCTCAAGCAATAATCTTTGTCCAGCCGGCTTTCACAAGCAAGGAAGGATCATGCGCTCCATCAAGGTATAATTCCTCAACTACGTTACGAGTCACGGTCAACGCACCACCTGAGAGTGAACTCCAATCTTCTACTATAGCAATTGATTAAAGTTTTATGTTATGATCATGGGCGGATCTACAGTAAAGCCTAGTGGGGC